GCCACGGGGCCTTCCTGCATATGTGGACCCGAGCCGATTAGAACGCGGGGTCAGTCTTGCGGCGCCGGTTCCTTAGCACCCTGCTTGTCCTGGCCCTGGCCCGGGGCCTCCCTGCAATATGTGGACCCCGAGCCGATTAGAACGCGGGGTCAGGTCTTGCGGCGGCCGGTCCTGTAGCACCTGCTTGTCCTGGCCCTGGCCACGGGCTCCCTGCAATATGTGGACCCGAGCCGATTAGAACGTGGGGTCAGGTCTTGCGCGGCGCCGGTCCTGTAGCACCCCTGCTTGTCCTGGCCCTGGCCCGGGGCCTCCCTGCAATTGTAGACCCGAGCCGATTAGAACGTGGGTCAGGTCTTGCGGCGCCGGTCCTGTAGCACCCTGCTTGTCCTGGCCCTGGCCACGGGGCCTCCCTGCAATATGTGGACCCGAGCCGATTAGAACGCGGGGTCAGGTCTTGCGGCGCCGGTCCTGTAGCCCTGCTTGTCCTGGCCCTGGCCACGGGGCCTCCCTGCAATATGTGGAACCGAGCCGATTAGAACGTTGGGGTCAGGTCTTGCGGCCGCCGGTCCTGTAGCACCCTGCTTGTCCTGGCCCTGGCCACGGGGCCTCCCCTGCAATATGTAGACCCGAGCCGATTAGAACTTGGGGTCAGGTCGTTGCGGCGCCGGTCCTGTTAGCACCATGCTTGTCCTGGCCCCCCTGGCCACCGGGCCTCCCTGTAATATGTATACCCGAGTCCGATTAGAACGCGGGGTCAGGTCTTTGCGGCGCCGGTCCCTGTAGCACCCTGCTTGTCCTGGCCATGGCCACGGGGCCTCCCTGAATATGTAGAACCGAGCCGATTAGGAACGCGGGGTCAGGTCTTGCGGCGCCGGTTCCTGTAGCACCTGCTTGGTCCTGCCCTGGCCACGGGGCCTCCCTGCCCTATGTAGAATACCAGAGGCCGATTAGACCTTGGGGTCAGGTCTTGCGGCGCCGGTCCTGTAGCACCTGCTTGTCCTGGCCCTGGCCACGGGGCCTCCCTGCAATATGTAGACCCGAGCCGCTTAGAACGCAGGGTCAGGTCTTGCGGCGCCGGTCCTGTAGCACCTGCTTGTCCTGGCCGGCCACGGGCCCCTCCCTGCAATAGTTGGACCCGAGCCGATTAGAACGCGGGGTCAGGTCTTGCGGCGCCGGTCCTGTAGCACCTGCTTGTCCTGGCCCTGGCCACGGGGCCTCCCTGCAATATGTAGACCCAGAGCCGATTAGAACGTCGGGGTCAGGTCTTGCGGCGCGGTCCTGTAGCACCTGCTTGTCCTGGCCTGGCCACGGGGCCTCCTGCCAATATGTGGACCCGAGCCGATTAGAACGCGGGGTCAGGTCTTGCGGCGCCGGTCCTGTAGCAACCTGCTTGTCCTGGCCCTGGCCACGGGGCCTCCCTGCAATATGTGGACCCGAGCCGATTAGAACGCGGGGTCAGGTCTTGCGGCGCCGGTCTGTAGCACCTGCTTGTCCTGGCCCTGGCCACGGGGCCTCCCTGCAATATGTAGACCCGAGCCGATTAGAACTTGGGGTCAGGTCTTGCGGCGCCGGTCCTGTAGCACCTTGCCGCCGACCCAGAGGTCACTCCCCCCACCGTCCCCTCAGGGGGTGGTGAGGACGGCGGGCTGTCGGGCCGGCCGGGAGGCTGTGGGAGTCATCGGCGTTGGCCACAGCTCTGTCGGGATGTTTCGCATGGGACGTGCGCCCGCGCGTTAGTTCAGCCCGGGCTCAGTCGCCAGCGCCATCTATCGTGTTTGCCAGCAGGCGTGACCTCTCTCGCCTGACAATGCCGTGCCGCGCAGTCACCGCAGGTCCAACAATGTCGCTCACGCTGTACTGAGGTTAGCGTCGACCCTGCCGGGAGACTGAATGCAGCTAACGCCACACCCTGCACGGAAGGTGCCCCTGTCGATCTACACCCGTCACTGTCCTCTGACGTGCTATAACATTCACCAGTCCCGTCCCTATGTGGGACTTCTCCCCCCCCCCCCCTCCCCTCGTCCGCCACGCCTCTGTTAGGCTACACCCCTCACCCGTCATGTCCATCTGTAAGAATCCCTCATCCGTCACGTCCCTCTGTCAGGCTACACCCCTCACGCGCCATGTCCCTTTATAACGCTACACCCCTCACCCGCCACGTCCCTCTGCAAGCACCCTTAACCCGTCACGTCCCTCTATAAGGTTACATCCCTCACCTGTCGTGTCCCTCTGTAAGGCTACACCTCTCACCCCTCCGTTCCTCTACTAAGCCACACTTCTCACCCGTGACGTCTCGCTCTGGTGGCGGTCCCTGGCGCCGGCCGCCGCGACCGCGCTGCTGCTGTTGCTGCTGCCGCCGCGCCTCCTGGCGGGCGCGCACCTCCTCCGGGTTGGCTACGAACTGGTCGCGCCGCGGCCCGGTCTCGTCCTCTCCGTCCTCGTCCGGCTGGTCGCGACGCCGCCAGCGCGAGCTCGGCAGCGCCTGGTTCAGCGGGACTGGAGCGCCACTGTGGGAGAGGAGGCGTACGTAAGCGGTGACGGACCGGCTGCCGGGCGGACTCACGCTCTCGCGGCGGAGTCCGCGCGGTCCCCGCTGGTCTCCGGACGTCGTAACTGTGTCGTTACCCCAGCCACCTACCGCGATCGCTCCCCGAGCATAGAGAGTTCCACGGTCTCGCGTCCACCGTAGCTGTCTCGGGCCGTATTAGCGGCGTCCTCCCTTCCCCCACCCCCGGCCGCACCCGCCGTCTCTAATCTGCGCCGCAGACTCCTGTTCCTGTCCTGGCGCTCCCCTGCATGCCGCACCTGTCGACCTCGGTCTCTTCCTTGGGCTCCTCTTGGCCGGTGGACACGCCGTCGTACGTGTCGTCGTACTCGTCCTCGTACTGCGCCGCCTCGTACACGCTGCCGTCGGCCGAGAGCGAGCCGAACAACTCGTACCGCTCGCGCAGGCCGCTCTCGCGCAGCGCCGACTTGTCCGCCAGCTCGCGCGCCAGTCGCGCCGTCGTCAGCCTGCGACAGGCGTCGGTGGCCGTCACGCGCACCGCCTGACAAAAGGCAGACACTATGGGGCTGGGCTGGGTCGGGATGTCCGGCTGCACTGTAGTGGGCTGGGCTAGGCTGGGTGACGGGCACCGCAGGAATAGGTGTGCCCGACGGGACTGGGCGATGCAGGTCGCGAAGGACAGCGTGGACTACCACACCGGCCAGGCCTGGGAGTGAGTGAAGATCAGCGGAGAATGCACGAGTCAAACAAGGGCGGTCAATAACTCATGCTGGGATGGATGGTGTGCCGGACATGGACAGGTTCTGTGCTAGACGGGGGCGCGCTCCCTCACGCCGAACGGCTGCAGTATCAGCGTGGGCGCCGCCAGGTCCGAGCGCACAGCAGGAACCATCCGACACCAAACGCGCCCAGGCGAGGACCTGGCCAAGTGCGGTGGGTGGCACACAGAGTAGCCTGGATCCAGCGCACGGGAACACAACGGCGCACGGGGCAGCAGCCAGTGCGGGGCCGCTTCAGATAATCACACAGAGAACGGGTTCCCAGCGCATGTCAGCCACGGCGCGCGTGCAACCATGGAAACCGCAGAGACCGGCGAAGCTTACCAAGCTGTGCAAGAGCTACCAACAGGAAGCCACCCGTGCGCGAGTGTCGTATCGGCCGGACGTGACCGGTGCGCACCCGCGGCCCCCCTGCCCAGCGCAGCGGGGCCGCGGCTGCGGGCGGGTCGCACGCACCGTTTGCCGCGGTGGAAGCAGCTCAGGTCCACGTCGTCGCGCGTCATCACGTCGTACTCGTCGCCGTCGTAGACGTTGCGGCGCGACGCCAGTACGTTGTGAAGCGGGCGGGCGGCGGCCGGCGCCGGCGCAGCGACCGGCGCCGCCGGGGGGGCGGCCGGCGGGGCGACCGGCGCCGCCGGCGGGGCGGCAGGCGGCGGCTGCTCCTTGGTCCGGTCGAGGGCGGCCAGCGACGCCGGCAGCGACTCCTCCAGCAGCGCGTTGATCACCAGCTCGGAGCTGTAGTTGTAGTGCTCCAGGCACGCCTGCCGAGCACGTGGTCGCGAGACACGGTCGGTTCGGATCCAGATATGGCAGCCAGTCATCACGAGCCTACGCACAGTGGGCTGCTGATAGCAGGGCAGCCTTGGTGCGTTTTCAGTATGCATGCAAGATACGTGTTGTGATTCTTCGTGCCAAACAAACTGCGTAACGATTGGTTGGACGCCAGTGCGATCAGCAAGTGTTAACACAACATCCTACTAGAATCCCACATGCAAGGCGACTGAATGCGGGTCCCGCCAGTCCCCCTTACCAACACAAACACACTTGTTGTCTCCTCACCATTGGCTAGTCACGGCCACATTCAGAAGCATCGTCCTGCAACTGCAACCCCCAAGTGGCCGTCGGCCGCCGCCAGCAGCGCGCTCACCGTGACGAAGCTGTAGCTGAGGTCGGGCAGCAGGTCGCGCACGTGCGACACCATCGAGTCCAGCTCGACACCGGTGACGGCCGGCCCGGCCTGGGCGCCGGCCGGGCCGGGGTCGTGCTCGCCCGGCTCCGACTGCGGCGGCGCGGCAGGCTCCGGCTCCGGTGCCGCGGCCGGAGACCGGCCGTCCGGCGCCGCGCCCAGCACCGCGTCCACCACGTAGTCGAGCCGCGCCGGATCTCTGGGCGCGCGGTCAAGGAGACGGCCACAAAGCCCGCGAAGGGAGCCGGGTCGGCGGAGGAGGGACTCCTGCGCCACGGACACGCTGCTGTGCGGGACTGCGCATCGACCATTCATGTAGAATCACCCCGAAGCCCAAGGATGCACACAGCCGGGGCTGATCTACCCCTCCACATGTACATGCTGATGACCTGGGGCATGAGGTGACAGAGTTCAACTACGTTCATGAAATACCACGTATCTGTCTTCGCCCAGTGATGAGTGCACGCTGTGGGCGCCCGGCACGGTCCGGGCGCCGGCGGTCGGCAGCGCCAGCCTCCTGACATCAGCATCAGCCCGAGCAAGGATACAGGTCCGGACAGCCGCGGCGCACGGTCTCCACGTCGTCGCCGATGGCGTACTGCAGGTGGTAGTCAGCCATGAAATGCTGCTCCGCCAGACACTCGGTCATCACCTCCAGGAACTGCTCGCCGCGCGCCTGCAGCCGCTCCCTGTCGCAGACGCGGTGGCGCTGTCGGACGGGCGTACACCGGCGGGCCGCGGCAGGCGCCCGGTACAACCTCCTGTACGCGTATGATCTGGCACGCGCTCAGCATCGCCGTCGCGGTACATGCGTACGGTATTGTAGACCAATGCTTGAATCAGAAAAGCCTGCCGTTTATTGAACCGCAGACAATCTCAATAAGACCTGTGTTGCACCTATTTTCAGCTCTCGTTCGCACAACAGTGATTTGCAGCCTAAATTCTAGGGAATCCGAACAAGAGCCAAGACAAAGCGACTAAAAGCCGCTCAATCCAGATCCAACTGTCACAGCTCGTCAGTCTGTCGCCGTCGCGTCCACACGCTCGGCGGCGACGCACCTGGCCCGGCCCGTCGGCTCCTCCTCTCGGAGCGGCCTCAGGCAGCAGTGGTCCACCAAGCGGCGGAACACGGAGACGAGCGAGACGCGAGCCAGCTGCAGGTGGCGCCGCACCACGTCCGCCGCCGGAAACGCGTCTTCTGGCCCGGCTTCCAGGCACCGCCACAGTCGTGGAATCACCGTGTCATAGAAAGACGCTAGTCTGCCGTGGTAAGGGCAAAGTCTGATTTTCGGGGAGGGGGGGCTCACTTGGGATGAGCTCTCACAGAGACCACGCCAAATGGACGTACGGGGCGTGGAAGAGTCAGTATGGGCAAAAGCTGTGAGAAGGCTAAACAGTGAGCTAGAATCGCCTTTGGGCTAGGGTGGGAGTGAAAAATTCCTGCACAAAAAGATTTTACTGGAAAGGAAAATTCAGTTAACAAAAGCTAGAGCTTATGAGCCAGTAAGACATGATCGGGCAAACAAAGGCATACATTTCAAGTCAGCACTGATGCAATGTCATGAACCTGACAAAAAATGTGCTTGCTTTTTCACATCTTAGGTCATTACGCTGAAACAGGATACATTAAACAACAGTTATTTCATAACAGTGTGATAAGCACCAAAAACTATGTAACACCAACGTTTCGATGCTGTACCTTGCACTTTCTTGCCCCAGGATGTTTTAACACAAAATACACTCCCGAATCATACCATGTTCCTCTCCTTTTCAGCGCCAAAGATTCATCAACAACTCCTCCACTGAACCAGTTCAGTTCCCACACAGAGTACAGCCCCGTCCACCCATAAAACGTCATTGAAGGTCCTGATATTTCGGGTGCAAACTGAACGAAGCCAGTGACCTATTCCTGATAACCCCATCGAGTTCAGCGTCTTACGACCACGTCTGACTGATTGTCGAGTAAACATTGCTGATGAGCATAGCCAGGTCACCCGTGCGATGGTTCCGCGTCATGCAGAATGAGCGGAACCGAGCACTCCTGTCGTGTGAGCCTTATCGTGTGTGCAAGTCCACCTAAGGCAGCTGTCAGTGGCCTGTGCCGAAATTACACTGTGCGCCGGTGGCCTGTAGCTATATGACATGCGCAAAAAGGGCAGTGTGATATTGAGCACAGACGTTCGATATTGTCTGGTATAGAACCACGATGTGCATTTCAGATGTGCTACCTAGCGGTAAACGGCGACGAATCTTTTAAACAGTGACGAGCAGGCGGTGATAAATCCATGTAGATGGCAGCACTTGCCGCCGCGACCGGCGAAATACGCTGGGAATATGGGGAGGGGCAGATAGACAGCACCGCAGACACAGGGGAACTTCAATCTGGCAACGCCTGAGATATTTCGTCATCCAAACCCGCCCAGAGGGAGGGGCAAACAGACAGCACCGCAGACACAGACGAACGGCAATCTGGCAACGCCTGAGATATTTCGCCATCCAAACCCGCCCAGAAAATTCAAAGCCCTTTCCTCTTCCCCCTTTGGCATCCGCAATTCAAACGTCAGACGGGAAACGAATCAAGCGCCAATCCACGGACCTGGTCAACACCACTCAGGGTTCGTCATGTGGTTCACTATCATGTAACTCGTGACGTCACATATCACGCCAATGGCATTGGCCATCATCATAATCTTGGAGCGGCAGGGCCTGCACGCTCGCGTTATGATCGTCGCAAGGGCCGGGCGCAAACACCGATAAGGATGTGCTTTTGCTCTTCAAAACAATTACATGACGTTAACAAAAATCAGAGCTAGGTCCAGACAATGTCGGGTCAAGGCCAAATCGCTTCATCTGATGTGTAGGCTGCAGAGGCTAAATCGTGTTCAAGGGGCCATGGCACAAGCTGGGTTCGAACCCGGGCCCCCAAGTGGGAGCTGAGGACACCGGCCACCCTGCAATTACGTTCCTTTTTGACGACATAACCATATTTTCGTTGACTTTAGTGAAATCAGATTGGACTTCGAAATCAACTTCGAAATCGACTTCGAAACCGATTCGGTTCCACTGGCTTTTGAGCTGAAAATATGGGCACCTCTGGCCCTGGCCCTGGACCTGGGGCCGGGCCAAACCGCTCCGACCCCCTCCACAGTAGGCCGAGCGGCGAGAGATGGCGGGCAACGCCCGTGGCACCAGCCACCACCACACGCCCGCTCACACCGAGCGTCAGCGGGGACGAGTCGGCCGCGCCCACCTGGCCGGGAAGCGGTTCTCGAGGAAGTGGGGGCTGCCGTCTGGATACACGCGCAGGAAGGCGTCCAGCGACGTGGCCAGGTCGACCACGTACTGCGTCAGGTCCCAGAGCTCGTGCCAGCTGATGGCCACCTGGTCCAGCTGGGTGCCGGCCACGCGACCCTCCACCCGCTCCAGCAGCTGGCGACGGCGGAGCGCGCGGCATCAGCGCGCGGCAACAGCGCAAGCACTGCTGTCCGACAGCCGTGTTAGGTGGAGGTGGCAGCGCCCAAAGTACTAAGTTGTGATGGGGACCCCTCGTGCGCTGGGTCGTTATACGCTCCAGCACAAAACCAGCACACAGCCCAGAACTGATGCCGAGAACAAGCAAACTGCTCGGGTGTACTCGCTGCGTAACCGTCTACAGCCTCAGCTAACCTGCTGGAGCTTAGGCATTTTCCGCCCATCTTGAACGACCGTGACGAAAAGGCAAAAATAGCCACGGATCTGAAAATTCTTTATAAACGAGGAGGAAAATAGAACAGACGTTTTGCCTATAAAGATCCGCGTTGTGGACAATGTTGAGCGCCAGGGACGGGACATCTCGAATGCCCTCGACCATCCCAGATTTGCAGACTGTATGGGTGCAGCTGGCAGGTGGCTACATGACTTTTTTCTGCGACCATGATGGCTTGATACAGGGCTTAATGGTCACGGCGTTGCGGATAAGCACAAGATCATAGACACACATACATTAACTCAAGGAAACGAAAGTTTCCCATCCAGCAGATAACCAAGGTTGGGCCCGAGCCAACATTAGTGACATAACACATGCCCACGAGGTTGGACCCGAGTCAGCGCTATGGACATATCACAACACATGCTCCCTCCAAGGCCCCCACTGTCCCATCCCCGCCCCGCACCACACTGAGCCCTACCATACCCCATGTTCACCTGTGCCCCCCATACCCGCGTCTGGGGCAGTACCCACCCTTCCACACCTCAAACGGACCCCGCATCCATCCCTCGGGCAGTACGCGTGCCCGGCGACCCCGACAGAATGCGTGTACCCGCGTACTCCCAATGTTGCGCCTTACCTCAGGCAGGGCGTGTACCGTCAGCTGCAGGTCCTCCACGTACGCCGGCTGGTGGCAGAACAGTGTGGCCAGCTGACGGCCGAGCAGCTGCTCGTTGCTGGCGGCGTAGACGGCGCACAGGTCCATGAGCCGCGCCATATCCCACAGGTAGTTGTCGTACACCAGCCGACCGAACAGTGCCGGGCTCAGGTGGTTCTCCTGCGGCGGGAGCGGGGCGGTGCTAACGCGGCGCACCGGAGCCGTCTGAGGGCCTAGGGGCTCGTGTCCAGAGGGACTGCAGGCTCGCGCTCTCCCCACCTTTCACGGCGGACTGCAGCAGCCATTTTAGAGCCCCTCCCCATCTCCGACCACGCACAACACCTTCAGAACAAACTCCTGAGACCAGGCGCCGACGGTCGAGCGGCGCCACATCTCGCCCGCGCCTGGCCCGCGGAAGCCCACGGGCGTGCGCCGACCTTGCTCTCCTTGTAGGTGGCCATGCGAAGGGCGAGCTTGAGCACGAGCAGCGCCACCTGCTGGACGGCGCGGCGGACGGCCGGCGCGGCCGGCAGCAGCTGCAGCTCGTGCGGCCGGGGCAGCCGCTGCAGCGTCACGTCCAGGCAGGCGGCCAGCGGCAGGTCGTACACCACCTGCGACCAGAACCTGCCGACGCGAGCAGACGGCCACTGAGACAGGAGCCGGCCGAAACGGAGAGACCCTACCTGGGTGCGGCACATGCCGATACGGGCAGGCCCCACCTGAGATCGGAACCTGCGGTGCGGGGAGCCCCCACCTGAGATCGGAACCTGCGGTACGGGGAGCCCCCACCTGAGATCGGCACCTGCCGGTACGGGCAGCTCCCACCTGGGATCGGCACCTGCCGGTACGGGGAGCCCCCACCTGAGATCGGAACCTGACGGTACGGGGAGCCCCCCACCTGAGATCAAACCTGCCGGTATGGGGAGACCCCACCTGAGATCTGACTTTCAACACAAGCAGGCCCCGTGCGAAATCGGGATTGGCCACCACGGAAAGAGGCGTGGAATCAGATCCTGTCGGCACGCGGAGAGGGCGCATGAGATCAGGACCTGATGGTACGGGCAGACCCGCCTGAGATCGGAAAGTGCCCACGAGGGAAAACGGCGACTGAGGCAGAGGACTGACAGCAGCCAGCTGACACAGTTTTGCCAACCTGCCACAACCGGTTAAAACCAGCTGGCACAAATACTAGCGGCAAACACTCAAGCAATGCGGGACATGTTCTCAGACGATGGAGCATCGGCTAAGCTGAAGCCGATGTTCCGTGATTTTAGCTTCCTAAAGTATGGACAAGGTCGCTGACCTGAGATAGCCTTAAATTACCCTTGGTTGGAAAAAGGTATTCAAGTTAAGAGTTGACTGTGTAAGGATACTTGAGAGAACTTCCAACACTGGCTACGAGTTTGATGTTGCTTGACCGTCGTTGAGAGGGAATTCACGACATATAAATCCAAGCATATCACACAAACAAGTTCAAGCAGAGCAACACCTGTGCTGCGAATTTTGTCCTTGCCTTTGCATGCCTAAATTGAACTTCCATCTCACCCCAAACCACCCGAACGCGCCGTATTCCAACAGGTGCCCGGACGCGTCTAACATTGCTGGCAAACAAGCATAGCCTAGAGGGAACACTGTCTTGTAGTCCCACAGTCACGAGTGAATATCGGGTTCGCACGAGTGCCACCACAGCAAGCGCTTGGTCAAGGCTGTCCTGAAAGGATGCTGAAAAACTAAAACTTTTGTCGCGCACATAGTGAGCATAGCGAGTGGAACAATACGTTCTTAGGAAATGGTGCCAGCGGCCCAGCGCCACAGCGACGAGCTCGGGTGCGCGGCACTGGGACAGGGTGTCCCGACGGCGGCTGACCTGTGGTAGGGTCGGCGCAGCAGCCAGCGCAGATCCTTTATGAGCAGGTCGGCGCCGGCCAGCCAGCCGTCCACTAGTCCTGGCTCGTCTGGTGGCCATGTGAACGCTACGTAATCACGTCGCTCCGCCCAGCCCGCATGCTGCAATCACGTGCATACATGACCACATCATAACATGCCATACGAGTCATGGGAACATACAGCACGTGATGATAACCCACAACGGATTTGGAGGCCCATTCGGGCATGGCAGCATGCCTCAAGGGATGTGTCCTTTGACCACATCATGTTAAAAGAGCAAGCATGTCCAGTGATTCCCCATTCGGCCTCACCTGTGTCAGATAACATCTCCACTCATCATGGTTCATGCACACAGCTGTTGTTATTGAATGCCCCTTCCCAACTATAAGCTATTATGGATCAGTTGTGATATGTCCACACACAGTCTTTTCAGCACATCAGATGCACATCAAAAAGTATGTGGCATTAAGAGAGGGTTGTACTCAGAGGACTCTGTCATCATCATCGCAGGAGTCATCATTACATGCCAGTCGAGCTTCATGGCGGCCGGCAGTGACAAGCATGGGGCCAGCTATCATGGCTTTGAGTACATGTCAAAACTGAGGGTGATGATGCTGAAGTCAAGACAAAACCATTTTCTGTGCCCAACTAGTGCCAAACTGTTTGCTGGACACATGCATGGAGCTAGACACAATGCAGCATCTGACCAAAACATACTATGTCTGTGAAAGATGGATGACCACCAGTGAACTAATCATAGTGGGTAGTTGGTACTCACAATGGCATCTACCTCTGACAGGACGCCTCCCTTATTGATGGCGATCTTCTGGTGGTCAATAGGAGGAGGAGAGTCTGACTGGACAGGTCTTGTCTTGGCCTGGCAACGTGCATCAGTCTCAAAACTGACAATGCATCGGTCTTGATGACAGCAGTGTAAACATTGTTATCACACAAAACAAGAGTGCAAAACAGAATAATGATTATAGTTGATGGCCTTACACTTTTACATTTTGCATGGTAGATTTGGATTTTGATTTTTGTAGACTTACATTTGAGGTGATAGGGTAATTAAGAATCAACATCACAGCAAAGCAGGGCATGTGCTTCAAAACATAACTTGAATATCCTCACCTTTGCTCCTCCAGTCATTCCAAAACAATGAAATGTTTTCTGTGTAGGTTCAATCAATTCACCTAAAACATTCAAGGTGTTAAAAGCATGCAATAATGATGAAAAACAAGTGATCATAATGGTACAACAAATGTCAACTCCATGACTTCATTCAAATGTAAAGGTGCCTTAGGCTTTCTTAGTCATTTCTCAAAGACCAATATCACTGGAATAATCACAGCTGATGCTCAAACCCAATGCTAGCTGACCTGAAATAGATAACTGTACTGCCTCCACTCACGCTGGTAAGAGGCCGGTAATGATCCACATGTAAAGAGACTTCTGAGCATAAGGTTAAATCCCTTGAAGCCAATCTACCACCTGGTACCCTAATTTACCTATCTTGTGCATTAATAGTGCAGCATGAGCTTTAGCCACACAATTGTACATATATTTCAATGTTGTGGCCCAGGTTTGCTTCAGTAACAGTGAATGTATCCACTTTGACACCAGGGTGCCGCATCCCAGTTATTAAAAACCATGTGGCAATGGACTTGCTAACCTCTGACAATGTTGGGCTTAGTGGTTGATTTATAAATGATACATGCACCTAGGCTGTGCAAATCCGTCGTTTGTGCACGGGCGTACGTTCGCGGCCGTACGGGAAAGGCGCGGGAAAGGGGATATTGCTTAAATAGCAGGAATAACAGCACCTACCTGCGTGCACGATACCCCCGTCCCGGACGTTACTCCTCGAAAGCCCCACCAATCCCCAACGTATGGTCCACGCAACCACGACCCCGGTAAATTGCACCACACTCAGTCACACCGCATTGCATACAGGACAGGCGCCCGATAGCAGCAATTTTTATCTTTCTGCGCTGCAGTGTCAGTCATACGCCACTTCCGCCCCATATTACTGCTACCACATCACGCTACCATATTCCCCTGATTCTTGCGCGCATCTTTCCTACGAAAAAAAACTCGTGTTTACCTGCCGCTCGCGCGAAAGTGATGGAATCGGGTGTTCGGCGGGGGGTGTGGGCTGCCGGAAAAGTTTTCAACTTAATTTTTCCCTTCTTGTTTTACTTTTTACTTCGGACCACACACCAACTGTGGCTTACCGCCGACACACGACGTGCAAAGTGGTATTTGGAAGTGTGGCTTCAGCCCCGGTGTTACCATCATCTATTGAACCCGTACGCTGAGTGCTTCTTCCCATCTCGAATTAATTTCAATTTTCTTCCCTCCATGAGTGTCGATTTGCTATTTTTTGGGTGGGCCACTGCACCCCCCCCCCCCCCCCCCCCCCCACCGCCCACGTCCAATTTGTACCCGTCCCCCAACGGTGAGTTTGGCCCACCAACCTCTTGGCACCGAAATAAAGGAGGGTGTCAACGATGAGAGGGGTCAACATTATATCAATTGTAAGCAAGCTCTCTACTGCCTAGATAAGACAGCATTATTTGCCTTATTCTTCAGAAAAACCAGGAGAATAGAGATGTAGTTAGTTTGATATTTCGGCAATATGCCCTTCTCGAAACAATAGTAGACGAAGTGAATATACCATAGTTAGTGACAACAACAATAGCAGAAGTGAATGTACTGATACCTGTTTCACAGGAAAAGAAGTAAATTTACTACGAAAACGAAAATTGGCAAGGTGACGTTCGGTTGATATTTTTTTTTTCTTTGGCAGATACATAATTTTGATCGCATGATTACAATGTCTTGTTGAATTTCGTCAACATTTGTGCTATTGTCTGTTTCGGCACTGATTAGCGATGTTTCATATTCCACAGACTTGCAGCAAGCTGCGTGATTTTGTTTCAAAATCGTAAGATGAAAACAAACTGCTCGAAATTAAAACTAAAAAACGCGACCCGGTTATTAGCCGTTTGCATTCGAAAGAACCGTTCAAATGTGCTGACCTCCACTTGGCCTTGAATTATCGATCGAATAGTTCAAAAACTTGACGATCGACACCTGTTGGTTAAAGTGATAGCGGCATTTGCCCGATAACATGCCTGATGAGAGTGCTGAGTTGTTGCCGGCACCCCGCCTTGCGGCTATCAGCCAGGGATTTTCATGACAGTTTCCGTTTCCATGACTCGTTTATACGTGGGTCCGCAACAAACCGAAGTTTCATCAATAAAACATATGCATTTCAGTTAGCGTAATACGAAACTCTTCCACGGACCAGCTACGAAAAAAGTCTTCAACATTTCCCCAAACAGCTTTAAGTAGATGACGTCCTGTTAGAATACCTTTCCCCGCTCATTTCATTACACACACTGTGCAAGCCTGCTGCGTTTCTGGGAGATACTGCTCTTAGCCTTTGCGCCTCTGAAAGGAAAGCGACTCAAACCCGCTTTGGTTAGAATGCGCGGTGAATGAAGCCCGTGATTTCAATGTCATGTCCAGCTCAGTCTGAGTATGGAAGCGCTGCTAATCGAGCTGCCCCTTCAGTGGCCACACGCGATTTACACTAATACACTCGGTGCACAGTGACCTCACCCACGGAGATGCCGGTGAAATTGGCTGGGGACGGGGACGGGGTTAGCCATGAAGAAGTTAGGCCATCTCCATATTCCAGAGCTTTTCATTTTAACCTCACAAACCATCGCGCGTCTTATGGCACTAGGTATGTGAAGTATATTGCATCGTTTATCCGCTCGGCTGTTGCGATTTTTATCTTGTGAGAACAGCCATGACGTCATATTAGAGAGTGGTACCAGACGCCATTGCGCAGAAAGCCAAAAACATTGGGGGACCAAGTCAACATTGGGGGGAGAGGCAACTCAACATTGGGGAGGCCAGGGTCGTCACAAAAAAATGCAAATCGTCACCCGTGACCAGTCCGATGTGCTGTGAATGCTAATGTGTTCCTATTCTAGGTCTAAAAAAGCTGTTGAGATGAAACATACTTTCGTGTTACTGTTTGAACGTATTTTTGCGCAAACGACATCGTTTTTCTCTGCCCGCTAGCCTCCGCCTAATGTTAGTTAACATCAGGTCTGAAAGATCCAATTGGACATTTCAGCTCCGAAATGGACCCGGATTTGGACCAGTAGGATGCCTTATAGATTGAATTAGACATCCTATCGTCCAATTATACTTTTTTGCTGGGAGCCACGAAGCCGATGCCGCGCAGCCTACGAACACTGCAATACCGGGCATCAGGGTTTTTTGGGGGGCTTGGGGCTTTTCATCAGGGCTTGTTTGTTTTAAGGCTTGCGAGCGCACATGGTTAAAAGCATGTGATGTACTTCTTTCAAAACTGGATTGTGGAAAAATTAGACCTCTGGACACACAGAGTTTGGGCATCTCAAAGCCAATCAATTTCAATCCCATTTCGATCTGCAATCTACGTGAACTATCACTTACGTTCTTGGAACAGCTTTGCCAACCATTGGATCGGCCTATCTACGAAGACAGAGTCTTGATTTGGCCGTAGACACCAGCCTCAACAAAGATTTTGACTGCGTATCCACAAGCATCACCATAGGGTTATTTCTAAACGTTGCTCGGAGTTGGGGAGCAGCTGCCTTCCCCCTACCCCCCTTTATCCACCGTCTCCGTGGGTAAAACATGCACATATCAGCCAAAAGTATCTCTACCAGACTTACGCTATAGGTAAACAATTCGCTTCGGGAGGTAAACACCCCAAAACAGTTTCTGGAAGAGGGCCTACAATAATTTGGTAGTATATACTTGTTTGTTTTTACAAATGCGCAGCTATACAACTGTGCTACGATTATTGCGCGTAAATATATGTGGCGCAGGACTCTCCGCTGATGCACTCAGGGATGGGACACAGGAGTATCCGCCCCCTGTGAGGCAGTGCTTGTTGGAGATACGGAAGTGAAATAGTACCCGGGAACACCCGGTCATCTGGGGTGGTGTGCGCCCGACTTCAAATATGCGTACTTTTTGTGCAAGGGTTTTGAATAGGTGCGGAACCTTGTTTGATGCATTGCTTAAGTTAATGGTTTGTTTGACTTCTTGAAATCGCCAGTGGTAGGGCTGTAATGCTCTTACTTCTGTGGTACTCAAAAAAGGATCGAAGTGTTGGACTGATCAACTAATTTTAGGTCTGTGTTATTCCTTGCTATGAAGTGCTCTAAAACTTGCAGCACTTCAGATGATTTTGCACAATGAATGAATGTGGCCGAATGTCATTTTTTAGTTGCATTGTAAAATGAAGTAGCATCATTTCCATGGTATTGCCATAGTCACTGTGCAGTCTGCCCAAAATGCTGGTTAAGTATTATGCAATAATGGCTATTTTATTTTTCAAGCTAAAGGAAATATTGACCACCAATTTTTTACCATTATGGTTGTGAGTTTGGCTGGAATCAATTAAGTACCTACAAGCTGCAACTAAAGTAAGATGCAACTTAAACTGATAAAAATTGCATGGGTTTTATCATGTTGACCAGTGCTTGCACAATATGATTACTTTAATGGTAAATCCTGGTATAATGAAGATCAATTATGTCATCATGGTAGCTTCAAACTCAGTGATAAGTCTACCACCTTCCCTGAAAAACCTGGTAACTGGGATGCAGCTGGGGTTTTGGAAGGTAGAGCTGTGCTTGTCAAGTACTTATGACACCAATTTTTCCTTTCCGTCAGTAGCCATTGGTGAAGACAGGTGGTTTAGGTTTAAAGCACTGTTTAAAGCACTAGCTGTTTGGGGGGGGAGGAGGGGCAAGGTATTCTGCACCCCTGGTTAATACAATACCTTATGAGGTATGAGCTCCTTTTGAAAATTTTTTGCAGGATTGGCTAATGAAAAAAACAGATGCTAAACAAAGCTCTGAAAGCTAAAAGAAAACAATAGCAAAGGTTTAAGGCCGGGTTCTTTCTGTGATTGTCAGTGCCATGCTATGGAACATAATTTGTATTGCTCTATAGAAGCCAGAAAAATAAATGACATTCAGTTGATCCCGTGTTTTAACTTGCAGTCTAATGCAAATTGTATTGTCAAACATAATAATAACATGAAGGTAACTGTACTTTCAAGATTACTGTGCATTGATTGAGAGCAGCTTAACTAATCTAACATAGCCTGACTTAAGTTCACTCAACCCAACCTGGCCTTTTATAGCCTAACCTAATCCTGACCTGACCTGATCATATCTGGTCTAGCCAAATCCAGCCCAATCCAGCCCAGCCCAGCCCAGCCCAGCCCAGCCCAGCCCAGCCCAGCCCAGCCCAGCCCAACACACTAGTCCTAGCCAGCCTAAAACTAACCTCCTTCATCCTGTCTCTCCTCCCCCCCCCCTCTGCCTCTAACCCATGTATATCCCATTGCTGTTAAGTTAATAGATTCTCCATGTAGCTAGTTGGTGTTCAATTAGCATGCCAAAAACATGGTATGATATAACCATGTTGTCTTCTGGTCATCAGCCAACCAGAAAATGTTTTCCCACACATGGAAAGTGTTTGTGCACCATGCATGCTCACATGCAATGTTGTTAAGCTAGCAACATGTTTACTCAGACCTGGTACAAGCTTATAAAGGTTAAGAACATTGGGACATGACAATAACTTGAACAATCTGCCTAATGAACGGCATTGGGCACCAAACAGCACTCTAATCTAGGGTGAGAAAGGGGAGTTGTAATCTCAGTTCTGAAATTTCTGAAATTTGAAGACAATAAGTCATGAAACAGGCATATTTTTTAGGTTTAAAGCACTGTTTTAATTTAAGGTTTGTAAGATGTTGGCTATTTAAGAAGGTCATATTTTGATGTTGTGAACCCTGAAGTGACAGCCCATTTCAGCCTGTGGCAGTTTTGCAACAACCAAAAATATCTGGAGTGCAAACAGGCCCTGGATCTTCTTCTCAGAGTCACTGGCTTTCAGAGGAGTATGCCAGATGTTGCATGTTGTGTTTTGCCACAGGATGATGTGGTCATTTGCATAAAATCCATTATTGAAATAGTTAATGTACATGCAGAGGATGGTAGTGTTGGTTTTCTGTGAGCTGTGGACAATAGATTCTGTGGAAGGTTGGGGGATTTGTCATTAAGCTGTCAAGTTTGGCAGAGCAAGATGTGAGGCATGCCATGAAGCATCAAAAATGATTTAAGGACAGATGCCTAAAAATTGCTGTTGCTTTGGCCTCATGCCACTTTTGTTGCATCCCAAAATATCATGCAAATAGAAGATTTAAAGGTAATTGAATCAACCCAGTCTTGTATTTTGATTGAAATCCAGATGCATCAGAACTTTCCACTTGAGGTAAAAAAACAGCCTCTCTGTCAGCCTGATTTTGATTATTAGTGGTGAAGATGACAGTCCACCTACAAGGTCAAAGCTCACTGTCATCACGATCTTTGTTATAGAGAGAGAAAATAGTAACAGAGTTGTGCAAGGAGCAACAGAGTAGCAGAACATTCCACTTAGCCTACCAGGTTGTGGGGGTGAGGAGCAAATAACTAATTGTGATGTAGCAAAAAACGAGTTACCTCATCGGAGTGTGATTGTGCACGAGCCAGTCACACTAAGAAAATACCTGCATTGCTGTATGCCATTTTGTAACTTCCAGAGCACCATGTGGCTGGGTCGCAAGCCAAAACATGACATCAATTGGAGCTTGACATTCTGGGCCTTACTGTATCGTGATGTGGCGGTATTAAACTGAACGGCGTTTTTTGGGGGTTTCAAGCCTGGCATATGTAATGAAATAGTACATCCCAGTCATGTGAGGTGGCTACCTCTCTCTGTCAGGCCTCCCCTCTCTCATGCCAGCCTTAGATGCTCATAATTTATTTGTTTGTTGTCAGTTCATCAAAAAAGAAATAAATTCATCTGTCATCATTGTTTTCACTGCAACATTGGATGTATATGCTGTAAGTTTCAGAATGGAATCCTGGCCATTATGAACACTGCATATACTATGCTGAAATATTACTTAAAACATCAATTAAATACTTATGAAGGTTTTACTGAGAATACCATTTTGCCAGCATCTCAAAGACCTAGCTTGATTTGAAGCAAACAGTGGTATGTGTATCTGTATCTGTGTGTGTGTGTGTATCTCATCTGGTGTACCCATTTTCCAGGATGGCAACTGGGCTGTGATGTACATTTGTCTTTTTCACCTTGCTTTCTGTTCGGTCCTGGCCTGAGGTGCCCTGCTTTGGACCACAAAGTTTCTCAAGATGTCGTTTCGCGGACCTGGGCTGTATGAGTTTCTTACGGAGGCAGAGCTTCAGCAATACTACAATCATTTCAAAAATGACTTGAAGGTGGGCCACAGGCTGGAGTATGGATTTCACACATGTCAGACAGTTTTACCACTGATCTTTACAAATGGATGAAATGACTTCCTATGTGACATGTCATATTTGTTTGCACATGTTGTGTGCTGGAGAGCTGGCCAGTGTCTTACATTTCAAGTGTGGTAAGCATGTGTGCTCTGAACAGTTACCATGTAGGTTTTGGTTGCCAGGTCTAGCGGATGATTTTGCCTCCCGTGTTTCGCTGAACAGGACTTTGGACGGCGTAGCATGCTTTACGATGTTGCGGCGCGGCTGTCGCGCGTCTGGGTTGACCCCCGTGAACCAACGCCAGCTGGCCTATATATGTCAGTCAGGCCAAACAACAGGCTCTCTCTGGGCCTCTTGACTTCTATTCTTTGCCGCTGGGCGACGTGTCCGGTATCTGAGGTGTTACGTGTTACGTCTTAGGTGTAAGGCGTGTTATCCCATGTGCCATATTGCGTGACATGTTTGCACGCGTCGGAACGGCGTGTATCGGAGGAATCGGGCGGGGGCTGTGTTAAGTCAGGGTATTCCGATAAAATTGTGCACGTCAGGCAAAGCGTGGCTATAAATGCATGGCGTTTACACGTGTCCGCGATTTTACAGGTTCAAAATGTGCCCCAAATCAAGTGGGTGACAGATGAAGATCTGGCCGTGATGGGTTTGTCTAAGCCCGAGATAAGACGTCTCAAGAAGTTCTTCGGAAAATACTGTCCACAAAACTATTTGTCGAAAATGAAAAGGGTATGTGCGTGCTTCGAAAATGCGGCTCAAAGCATTGTACGCTTCTCATACCCCTCATAACTGCCGGTAGGATTTTACCGTGTCGCTTAACAGTGTCTCAGATTTACAGCTTATTGTCCTCTGCGGCGCGCCCGATCCCCTCTGTTTGCCTCAATGCTCTGCCTGTCGTGACGCGTCGTCCCCTCACTCACCGCCGCTTGGTCATCCCTCGCCTGGACCTGTGTTCTGCACGGGAGTGAGTCGGCGGCGCGGCGGCCTCACCGTCCCCCGTGCGGCGGCCTCGCCGTCCCCCGCGCGGCGGCCTCGCCGTCCCCCGCGCGGCGGCCTCACCGTCCCCCGTGCGGCGGCCTCACCGTCCCCTGTGCGGCGGCCTCACTGTCCCCCCGCGCGGCGGCCTCACCGTCCCCCGCGCGGCGGTGTCATCGTCCACCGTGCGGCAGCCTCACCGTCTCCTGTGCGGCGGCCTGACCGTCTCCCGTGCGGCAGCCTCACCGTTCCCCGTGCGGCGGCCTCACCGTCCCCCGTGCTGCAGCCCTCACCGTCTCCTGTGCGGCGGCCTCACCGTCCCCCGTGCGGCAGCCTCAACCGCCTCCCGCGCGGCGGCCTCACCGTCGCCTGTGCGGCAGCCTCACCGTCTTCCGAGCGGCGGCCTCACCGTCCCCCGTGCGGCGGCTTCATCGTCTCCTGTGCGGCGGCCTCACCGTCCCCCGTGCGGCGGCCTCACCGTCTCCTGTGCGGCGGCCTCACCGTCCCCCGTGCGGCGGCCTCAACCCGTCTCCTGTGCGGCGGCCTCACCGTCCCCCGTGCGGCGGCCTCACTGTCTCCTGTGCGGCGGCCTCACCGTCCCCCGTGCGGCGGCTTCATCGTCTCCTGTGCGGTGGGCCTCACCGTCTCCTGTGCGGCGGCCTCATCGTTCCCCGTGCGGCGGCCTCACCGTCTCCTGTGCGGCGGCAGAAGCTGCTGGGCCGGCGCGACGACGAGCTGCCGGAGCCGCCGGCGGTGCCCGACGAGTCGCCCTCACGGCAGCGGCACACCATCAAGATGCCCAAGCACATCATCCCGGCGGACGCCATCGTGGTCAACAAGGAGCTGGGCACCGGCGAGTTCGGAGTGGTGCAGCAGGGCGTCTGGACCAACGAGGAGGGGCACAGGGTGAGCTGCCCGGCATTGCGGGACCCCAGCGGAGGGTGTGGCGGGGCTTGGACAGGGAGGTGGGGGCGGGACACCGGCTGACGGTGAGGCGTAACTCCGGTGGAGGGTGGGGTGGGACTCTGGTGAAAGGTGGGGCGGGACTCTGGTGAAAGGTGGGGCGGGACTCAGGTGAAGGGTGATGCGGGACTCCTTTTGAGGGTGGGGCGGAACTCCGGCTGACGGTGGGGCATAACTCCGGCAGAGGGTGGGGTGGCGGATGGTGAGGCGGGGCCCCGACAGAGAGGTGGGTGAGACACGGCAACAACGGCGCGGATCTTGGTTTGATATTTGCAAAAAGAGCCTGTTGGAGGAGAGGGGGGTGAAAGGATCCGGGGAGCCGTTGTTGGAGATTCCGGAGGAACTGGTTGGGGCGAGCCTTATGATGCAGGGGAACCGTGGACGATAAACGGGAAAATTTGGATGAGGGAGCTTGAGGGGGGGGGGGGTTGTGGAATGCTAGTGGAAAGGAGCGAGGGGTGCTCATGGAAGTGTAAAATAAGAAATCAGAGGTGTGAGTTGGGGGGGGGGGGGGGGGGGCGGGGCAATCGGATGTGGAGGGCTGACAAGGAAGCTGGCGGATGGGGGCCTGAGGAGAGTCCGTGAGCGGGTAACAGGGGAGCTGTTGCGAGGCGAACGCGAAGGGTTTAGTTGAAGGGTTTAAGTGCAGCTGAGACAGTGCAAAATGTTTGGCCTTTGAGACTGAAGGCGGCGTTTAGTATCCAAGCCGGCCGCAGTAGTCGGGGCCCATTTTTGAAGGCACGATAAAAGGGGAACGTGTGGGGAATGTGGGGAACGTGGATTAACGAAAATGGGAGCATAGCTTGCATGCCAGTGGAAGTCCCGGGAGGGAAGAGATCACGAGGTAGCTCAACTCGTGAGAACGTGTACCAACGGTCAGCCGAATCGTCATCTAATGCGTGTCTCTATGCCATTTGTATGGGCCGTGGTTGGCAAGCTCTGCTCATTTGTGTGTATAGTTCTGCTCCATACGTGGGCGAATGTGCTGGATGTTTTTGTTTGTTTCTGTTTTGAAGTGGACAACATTTGGATTGTTATTTGCTGATTACGTCGGATACGTGACTGAACTTGGCACATCGAGCGCTGGATGGGATCCCAGGTGCATCGCATCTGCGGTCGCTGAATGTCAGACCAACCTGTACCATACGTCACGCCCACAAAGTCGGAGCTGTTCATCCACTGATTTTGTTTATGGTTTAGTGCGGGCATGGTACTGGGAGCATTTGCCCCTGAGGTCTATGGTAGGTGACGGGCGCGTGCCCTAGTGCTGCCGTCTCTGCCTCGTCTGCACTCGCTCTTCGCCTCGGCCACCAGATCCAGGTGGCGATCAAGTGCCTGAGCAAGCAGCGCATGCAGTCCAACCCGACCGAGTTTTTGAAGGAGGCCACCATCATGCACAACATTGAGCACGAGCACATCGTACGTCTGTACGGCGTCGTGCTCGATACCAATGCCCTGATGCTGGTGAGTGAGCGGCGGCCGCCGCCGCCGTCGCGGTCTCTCTACTGTCCGTGGGCGCGGAGGGGCACGGACGATGTTGGTGCACCTCCTCCCACTTCCCCCCCCCCCCCCCCCCCCCCATTCCAGGTCCGACACAGCGGGGTGGCCACTAGCTCCGTGACGGTGTCGGAAGATCGAACGGCGGCGCAGAATCGTGTGTTGTGCATTCCGCACCTTTTGGGCCTGCTCGATTATTTCCGGGCGGTGTAATTATTTGTCGGAGACTCTATGTTCGATCATATTTTGGACAGGCTATCCGTTCACGCCGCTTAACACCTGGCTCTTCGTCTCTGTGTGTGAACGTGGCCGTTTGGCTGGTAGTGGCAGGTGTGTAACCAGTGGACTAGGCTGATATGCTGCGGTCACGTACAGTGCATGATGTGTGTTTCTGAATGAGGTCCCTTTGATGGCATGCAACAACACTACTTCTGCTACGTTGGACTTCTCCCGTCGCTGAGATAACCTGATGATGGCTAGGGCGTGATCAAAGCGTCCAATGTATTGAGTTTTCGCCGAGTTTTGGCGTTCTGCTGCGAGCTGCTGCGGTTGACTGACAGCGTGTCTCCGCTGCTCCGGTCCGCGGTCTCCCACCTGAGACCCCTGCCGACCCCAGCTGACCTTCAGTGGTGTGACCCCGTCTGACCCCACGCCTCGCCCTCGGGTCAGGTGACGGAGCTGGCGCCGCTCCGCTCGCTGCTCGAGTGTCTGAAGGAGCCTAACCTGCGCGCCAGCTTCCCCGTGCTGACGCTGTGCGGCTTCGCCATCCAGATCTGCGACGGCATGCAGTACCTCGAGTCCAAGCGACTCATACACAGGTGCGCCGCCCGCCCGCCCGCCCGCTGCCCATGTGCGTGGCGTGGCGTGTCCCGTGGAAGAGGTGTGGGTTTGGGCGACTGGGTGGCGCGTGGGGGCACCACTAGAGTTCAGGAGCAGCGGGGTGGAAGCGTAGCAGGGTGACGTGACGTGACGTGCGTGAGGGCGGCGGGTACGTCTCTGATGGGGCTGGGGCGAGCGTCGCCAATCCCCTGACAATCAATGCAACAGCTTGCTGGGCCCCGCGTACATTCGTCCACCAGTGGGCAAATAGTACTTAACAGAATAAACACGTATCTATGATGGGTCTGTGTAGCAATTTGGTAAGTGCACCTTCCTTTCGGTATCAGGATGAAACACTTATGATTTGCCGAATTATGTTATTAGGCCATGTGAGATTGCCAAATTATGTTATTAGGCCATGTGAGATTAAAGCAACCTGTTAATGCCCTGTCGGGCAAGCATGCATGCAAAAGAGGTGATCATCATCAGACCGATGCAATCAACGATACTGCTGCGATTAGGTTCCCCGTGGTCCAATCCACTCAGGTACTGGTATAACACATTCCATTTTATCTGCACAATAGCGTATTTTGTACGCATTTTAATCAGCAAGAACTGCTGCCAATCGCCTCAAACTGCTCCGACTTGCCCTTCGAACTCGGCAACATCCACTAGCAGCCGTGTGAATACCTCTATGGTTTGTTTCGCAATGATTGGGTGAAACGAACTGAGCTAGTTACCTCCATATTTATGGGAACTCTGGGACTTTGAGACCTAGCGAGAACCTCTAACCTGTCGCGTCCGGATCGCAGTCGATGTTTTTGGTGCGAATGTCGCCAGTAGATAGCGCGGCGCCGCTCTACCGCTCACCTCACCTGGCGAGGGCGGCAAAGATAATGCTCTCATGGCTTTAAGATCCTGTGCATCTAGGCGCGGGTTTCAGGGGATTTGGGCACGTTGCGACATACGTGGACACCGCGATGACGTGAAGCTAGTGCTAAGCCTAGGCGTGGCCTCTCTGGACGCCGATCTTACCGGGAAAACGTTCTCACGGCGTCTCGCGGTATCTCATTGCTCCCCGCCGAATCCCTCGGGGACAGGCTGGGAAGTTGTCTGAGGGTCTGCTCTGCTGCGGAAGTCATGGCTATGGCTCAACCGGCGGCATCACGAGAGCAGAAGAAGCCTTGCCCGCTCGTGTTACCATGCCATCACCACTCACCAAGTTATGCCTGTGTTGCAGAGATCTAGCAGCGCGCAACATTCTCGTGTTTTCCAAGAATACTATCAAGATATCCGACTTTGGCTTTGTCACGGATGCTGGGCGTGGGCAAGGACTACTACCAGACGAACTTCAACGTCAACCTGAAGCTGCCCATAGCATGGTAACATGTTAGCTGACAACTTGATGCATGGCTGATGTGTTTTGGTCAGTTTCTTATTTTTCCTTGTGTGCAGCAATGAGTACGCATGCATGATGTGTGATGGACTCTGGTTTGTGTTGTCGGTGCCATTTTCCTTACTTTGCTGACTTTAAGTATCATCCTAGCTTTAATAATCATTCGAATTTGACCCCTTTATAGCTTCTATTCTGGTCATTTGTACTAAATTGTGGTATTGGTGTGCAAGTCGGGCCATCTCTAGTACTCTTTCACCCGTGCTTACCAGTCTCACGTACCCAGCTGTAGCACCCTTTTCGATACGATTATCGCTGCCTGTCCAGGGGTCTCCTGACCATCGCAGTCTGTGAGCTGGCACATGGTGTCACTCCCCCGCTGGTGCCAGAACTCGCTAACTGTGGGCGTGCGGCGGCCAGGTGCGCGCCAGAGTGCATCAACTACCTGCGCTTCACGTCGTCGAGCGACGTCTGGGCGTACGGCGTGACGCTGTGGGAGATGTTCAGCTACGGCTTCCAGCCGTGGGCGGCGCTCACCGGCCAGCAGATTCTCGAGGCCATCGACGAGCCCAACTTCCAGGTGCGGTCAGCAGCCGGAGGTCACCGGGGGGCGGCGGCCGTACCGGCTGCTTGGGCCAGTGACCACGCGTGAGGCACCACCTTTCCGTGGTGGTGGTGGTGGGGGGGGGGGGGGGGGGGATTGTGTGCCCCAATGGTCTTGCGGGCGGTCGGGGAGTCTTGTAAAGCGCCCCTTCCGGCCAAAGAGGAAGAGCCAGACTAATCGTGCCTCCCGGAGGGGCTCTGACCTCGGTCAGTGAAGGGATTAGCAGCTCCTCGGCCTTAGCTTTCAATTTTATCAGGGTTGCCGTGCCGGGTTGTGCCCCACAGGAGTGATGAAGGAGTCCTGGGCGCTGAGTTGGCCGCCTTGCTGGTCAGCCTTGGCGTCCATCAACACTCACCTTTGGCCTGAATTTGCCTACCTGCGGACCACGTCTCGATTTGGTCAATGCTGGGAATCGACGCGCAGCTGGTAGTCTGACCCGGGCGATGGAGCACGCAGAGCGTAAACCGGGAGGTTTTCATTCGGACATGTGAGATAAGGAGTGCTCATCAGCAGAGGGACAGCACATCGTCACTAATTGACAATTTCTCCACTATGCTGGTAACACTGGTTGGTAGCTGTTTGCGTCGCACGTCCAGCCATCCGCGTAGAACCCCTGTCCCACGTTGTTCACCGAAGGCAAAGATGCTATAACATACGGAAAGCACGCATTTTAAAAGTGCAACAGTCATCCGACCACACAAAACATGATAGGCTACAAACGTTCCAAGGCCGTTGCGAGGCCTGATATCCTGATTGCAAAACAAGCGTCGTGGAGAGAATGTGTTTCCAAAGTAGGCAGGTTTACTTCAGTTAAACAAGTTTGGCCGCGAGTTCAGCGCGTCGCTGGAAAGTTTCATCCACGCTCCTTCCAACATTGACCACTGGTGGTGCGGAAGTTGTAAACTCTGTTGACGTGGCGAATGCCATTGCTAGAGCTTTCTCGGAACGATCCCGAACGATACCGATATGGAATACGACATCTAGTGTTTGCCCGACGCAAGACGCAGTGTCAATCATCTGGTTTGAACTTCTTGTCCAGAGAGGCTTATTCCTATGATGCATTGTGTACGCTTTCCGGAATGCATCATGCCAGTGCCATCCTTTAAAAAACGTTTCATGAGTCCCTGACTGCATGGACAACTTGGTGTTCTGACATTTACCACCGAACAGTGCGGGGGTCGCTTCTTGATATATTTAATTGCATGTGGACAAACAACGATTTTCCTGCTTCATGGGGAGGGGCAATCGTTATACCATCTTGAAACCAGGGAAAGAGGGAAGATCATCTGGACTATCGTGCAATAGCTTCAACGTGATGTGTATGTGAACTGTTCGAAAAAATTATAAACGCTCGTCTAATTGGGTACTTATCCATTCTTTCCAACGCCCAGTGTGGCCTCAGGAAAAATTACTGTACTTTGGATCATCTGGTGAACTCAGAGGTGTCAGTACGGAAGCTTTCCAACAACGACAGCATCTTTTAGCTACGTTTTACGACATTGCGAAAGCCTATGACACGACATGGAAGTGCATTATTCTAATGCAGCTCTACAAATGCGATGTTAGACGACGCATGGGTATGTTCCTGTCTTCGTTGTTCTTCGGAATGGATCCTTCAAAGTCCGTGTAAGCACGGCTCCGTCGACTATATACCGCAAAGAAATAGCGTTTCGCAGGGCAGCGTTCTCAGCGATGCGCTCTTTGCCATCATAGTTAATGACATTACTGAATTTTTGAATTAATGAATTTTGAAAATTAATGAATATTCGACACCAGGCTACGGTGTATCATATTCGATAGCAGGCTACGGTGTATCACATTCGATACCAGGCTACGCTTTTTGTCAAGGACCTTGCCATGTTGCCTCACTGTGGCGAATCCATGTACGCTATATTCTCGGACTCTTTAAGCCCTCCGGTGATCTTGCAGCAAGCAAGTCAGCAGCACAAAATCGCTGAAGAAATAATGCACACATTGCTTACCTTGGAGCAGGGTAACAAGCGTGTTGTTTTCGCCTGGATGCCTAGTCACGCCCGGATATCCGGACACGAACAGGCTGATTCTCTAGCCTAACAAGCTGCCGCGGTCCTCGTTTGGCCTGAAAGGAGACATCAGCATCAGGTCTCAAGGACGTATTTTACAGTGATCTAAAAACACAATGGGAACGCATTTGAGATGAACTAGGTACAGATATTACCCGCAGACCGAACAAGCGCTGAGCCATTAAAGCGCAGATCGGTGAATAGAAATTATCATACTTTAAAATAGACCCGACGAAGTAAAACTTTGCCAGTTACCATAGGCCACACGTATGAGACGCACTCTTGCCTGCTCTACGAGGAGGCTCGGCCCCTTTGCCGCAGATGCGGAGCAACTTGGTCCGCGGCCCATGTACTAGCTGGGTGTGGGAACTACGAGACTGAGCGAAACCGGTATTTTAATATGAATCGCATTCCCCTGACCTGGCTACTGGGTGGTCCGCCGTCGGACGATCTTCGGGCAGTTTTTGCCTTTTTCAAAGACATTGACTTCAAGCTCTCGTACTCAGCGACCTAGATAATTGGCAGATGGGCCACATAACTCCTATGCGATTTGTTGTCTACGCTGTTCGGCTTTGGTACGCAGCTGACGGGCTTTCTGAATGACTAATACATCGGTGACAATCTGGCGGCATAGTTTTGAGTATAGTTCTGTTGACATGGGTTCGTAAGAATAAGACATGGGCGCGGATAAGCAAGACAAGAAAAACCCTTCCCGCCAGGGTGAGAGGTAGGCGGCGACATGTAACCTCAGCAGCTGAGCGCGTCGTAAGATCCCAATGACGACAAGGGAGGGAGGGAGGGAGACCAGGGCCAGGTAGTGAGTGTGGCCGCAGCCCGTGGCTTCTGACCGTCCCCTTGCTCTCACCCCGCCAGCGTTTGGAGCAGCCGGACACGTGTCCCAAGGACTGCTACAACTTGATGATCAAGTGCTGGCAACACGACCCCAACAAGCGGCCCAACTTTCGCGACCTGGCCGAGATGTTACCTGAGGTGAGTCTGCTCGCGCCCGCCGGCCGTGTCCGCCGTAACGCCGCGCCAACTGTCGGAAGGAGCGACGACATTCACCGATGTTTGGGGACAGGCGTGTCTGTTAGGTGACCGCGTGATGATTGGCCGCCGGTAAGCACGCCCCTGAATGTTCCCATGTAACACACCGGCTCAGTTACCAGCACACCCTCGGGAATTATGACAGCTTGGAATGTGTTGGCTTCTGGTTGGTTGGGATGTCTGGGTCCGAATCCCGACGCGCTGACCGTTGCACGTCTCGGGCGCCGTCGCTGAGGATGCCTATTTACCGCCACTAGGCCCCGCCCATACCGGCCCACCAATGTGTCGCGCATGACGCCCCGCCCCGTAAAATGTTGCGATCATCAACATGGGCAAAACCTGGCGCTGTTGAGAATTTCCCGCGCTGGGAGTTGAACCGGACCTGCCGTATTGCAGTGTAAGCCGGAGCAGGTGCAGGCAGTGCAGGCGGCGGCCAGCGAGCCCACGTCGCCCACCAAGCGTGACCGACTGCCATACGACGTCGGCGATGTGGTCACCGTGCTGGACAAGCGGTACGGCGGCGCCGGCGCGGCCCGGCAGGCCGCTGGGCCGGTGACAGACGCGGACGCTGGCCCCAGCAGCCGTACCGTGACGCCGTGATGGCTGTGCGTGTGACGTTCGGCTCGTGGTAGCCCTGGGTCTCTCGATATGGAGGCACATATTGCGGTTGTGTATCAATAGATATCCACTTACGTCTGCTTGTTAGGGATTGTTTATTCTGCCGAGAGCGCTGTCGGACCGCCGTCAGCTGGCGCGCATTGCAGAGGCGCCGGTAACGCCCTAGCGCTGACGTGCGCCGCCTGTCCGCAGGCCCGTGGCCGACCACCCCAACCTGTGGAAGGGCGTCACGGCGCTTGGCAAGACGGGCCTCTTCAACCCGTCTCACTTCGTGGCCTACCTGGGCAGCAACCTGCCGTCCAGCAGCGGGCAGCCGCCGGCACCGTTCAGCCGCGGCGGTGCGTCCGACGCGCGGCAGCCGGGCCGGCCGGCCGGCGCCGTCACGCGTCCAGTCGACCTGTGGGGCGGTGTGTGCGGGAGCTGGCCTGGCATGGTTCCCCCGCCCGCCGTCGTGCGCCGACCTTAGGTTGAGCAGCCGTGGGTTAGCCGGACGCTGCCAGCCACAGGCTCGCTATCGGTGGGCCATTCCCCTTGTCATTATCTGCCGAGCCTCGGGCTGGACGTGTCCTGGTAACCGGCGTCTTTTTTTTTTGTCCGCCGTGGCGCGGCGGACCGGCCCGTCGGCGCTCCGGGTGGTCCCGCCTGACAGCTGACGGTGCCCCGCAGAGGCGAAGGCGGCCTACTCGTCCAAGCGGCGGCTGAAGCCGGAGATGATCTCGGCGCCGCAGGATGACCTCAAGCACACCGGCCACGTCGGCATGGACGGCACCCACTTCGGCGATGTCTCCTTCCTCGGCGACAAGGTCAGGCGCCCGCCGCACTGGTCAGCATGCGAAGCGGTCGGCGGCAGGGACGCAGACGGGGCCCAGTGGCACCTCTGGCCACCCCTGGCAGCTCGCAGTCGCGTCATCTCGGCCAGTGCGGCGGCAGGGACGCAGACGGGGCCCAGCGGCACCTTCGGTCACCCCTGGCAGTTCGCAGTCGCGTCGCTGTTCAGCCAGTGCAGCTGTATGGTCCTGTGGCCCAACAGCGAGTGTCGCTGCGCCGTCGCGCTGGCTGCAGGAGCTGGGCCCGAGTGTACGCGCGTCAGGCCTACAGCTCTTGGGGTCTGAAGCGGTGCGGGAATATTGATAAGTGAAGTATTCAGATGTAGCTGTATGAGTTGTCTTTTGTCTATATTCTGTCAGTGTGTAAGGGACATCTGTTTTGCTGGTGGCCCTGCCAGCGTCGACTCGTAGCCTACCTCAGTAAACAAGACTGAAATGACGGGCGTGCATGGCTGTATGGGTGCAAATGCAAACAACGGTGTCACAGCCACGTGTGCCGACGGTGCTCTCGGTCGCCCCGGCCCGGCCGTGTCCGTGGCGCCGGCGATCGCTGACGGCTGCGGCGTTGTCCGCAGCGACAGCAGCTGCCGCGGCAGGTGGTGAGCCCGTACAAGCCGCAGGACGACATGCGCACAGCGCTGCTGACGCGCGCCGAGTCGGACGTCTCGGACCGCGCGCCGCTGCTCGCCACCGCCGACTCGGCCGCCAGGGGCGCTGCTGCAGGTGAGGGGGCAGCGACGGTGCCCGACTTAGGCCCTGAGCCTCTCTAGTTTCTGATTTGTGCGCCCGGGGAGATGTGCAGACCATTTCGAGGAAACTATTTCACGGCTACCCAAGCATCCATGACACCATGATGACATCATTCAAAGCCTGTCATTCCACAAGCCATGCGGCGATCAGGACTAAGAAAAATATAATTGTCGAGTTGTTTATACCTGGTGTCCGTGAGCACGATTTCTAGGTATAACGGCCATCAGTTGGCTCTCAATCAGTGCTGTGCATGGTACGATGACGTATCAGGCAATGACGTTTTGAAGAGCCTATATTAAACGGAGGAATTGCGTTGTCTTAGACTAGTCTTGTCCCCTTAAATGCATACCAATGGTAATGAGTAAGCTGATGTTTGCTTCAATATGTTCCAATGTGGAACATTCCCTTTAAGAACACGGCGGGGACTGGCGGAGGAGTGCGAGGGTAGCTGAGGGGACTGTGGCGGAGGAGCGCGAGGGTAGCTGAGGGGACTGTGGCGGAGGAGCGCGAGGGTAGCTGAGAGGACTGTGGCGGAGGAGCGCGAGGGTAGCTGAGGGGACTGTGGCGGAGGAGCGCGAGGGCAGCTGAGAGGACTGTGGCGGAGGAGCGCGAGGGTAGCTTAGGGGGACTGTGGCGGAGGAGCGCGAGGGTAGCTGAGGGGACTGTGGCGGGAGGAGAGCCGAGGTTAGCTGAGGGGTCTGTGGCGGAGGAGCGCGAGGGTAGCTGAAAGGACTGGCGGAGGAGCACGAGGGTAACTGAGGGGACTGTGGCGGAGGAGCGCGAGGGTAGCTGAGGGGCGGGACGCCACCGAGCTTGCAGGAGAGCCGGTATGCCAGCTGGCAGGCCAGCTGGAGCGAGCTGACCGTACGTCGGCCGTCAGACGGCGTACATGTCGTTCCCGCTGCGGCAGCTCTCCCCACCACGCGTCGGTAAAGGTGCGTCGGTTAGGTTGGGACCTTTGAGTTGATCTGCGGCACTCTGGATCACCTCCGTGCGCCGGCGTAGCGGAGAGCCGTGTGACGGCTCGTGGCGTCTCATGTGACGGCTCGTGGCGTCTCGCGTGACGACTCGTGGCGTCCCATGTGACGGCTCGTGGCGTCTCGCGTGACGACTCGTGGCGTCCCATGTGACGGCTCGTGGGTGTCTCGCGTAGGACGACTCGTGGCGTCCCATGTGACGGCTCGTGGCGTCTCGCGTGATGATTCGTGGCGTCCCATGTGACGGCTCGTGGCGTCTCATGTAACGGCCCGTGGCGTCTCACGTGACGCTCGTGGCGTCTCACGTGACGGCTCGTGGCGTCTCATGTGACGGCCCGTGGCGTCTCACGTGACGGCTCGTGGCGTCTCGTGTGACGCTCGTGGCGTCTCATGTGACTGCCCGTGGCGTCTCGTGTGACGGCTCGTGGCGTCTCATGTGACGGCTCGTGGCGTCTCGTGTGACGCTCGTGGCGTCTCGTGTGACGGCTCGCAGCGTCTCGTGTGACGGCTCGTGGCGTCTCACGTGACGTCCGCACGGCCTGCCGAGGAGCCGGAAGCCCCTTTCCAGCGGCGCAGCTGTTTGCAGCAGTCGCAGGCTGGCATGACGGACCAGGCTGAGTCGATGCCTATCCTGTCAGACCGCTGCCCAGTTATCGTCTCCGTCGCCTGGGAGTGCGGTGGCCACCTGTCACGGTCGGGTGCGGAGCTCAGGCTTCTCGCCGCCTCCCGAGCAAACTCGGTCGGACGCTGCTGATGAAATCTTGGCCGGTTGTTGTCAGGTCGGGCTCCTGTGCACGGATGCACGAATGCAATCGCCACGCTGGTGCGTGATGCGTGCAGTAATCGCGGTATGACCTATAATCTACGCGGGCCCAGCACCTCGGTCGGTACTGTGAAGTGCAGAGCTATTCATCCTTAACTCGATATCATTGCCGGACGCCGCCTGTGCTTAAAGGGAGTGGGACTGAAATGCTCATGCATCGAAGCACCAGGATGTGGTTTTAGAGACCAGTGGGCATATCGGGCTTTCTGCCAGTTCAAGATGCGATTGAATCAATAACCCACTTATCACGTGCTTTGCAACATAATGTAGTGCCGTGCGGTATTGGCATGTGGAGAATCCGCGAAAGCAGCACATTTACACGAAAAGGAACACCGCCCTCAGCCCAGCTGCACAGTGTAGGTGGTGATGTGCCGCGGGGGCGCGGGTGGGTCGGTGGTGTGTGTGGGTGTGGGTGTGTTATCAGCGGAGGTGATGGTCCACTGAGTGGCGCGTGTGTTCGGGCCGCCCTGGGTGACGGCCACCTGCGTCTGTGCCGGCCGCGGCTGGTCCCTATCGGTGCCGGCACCGTGATAACCTGCTGGGCCGGGCTGTCGCTGTCGCGGACAGCGGCCGGAAGCCTGCTGACGCCGTTGGCAGCGGCCCGAGGCCTGCTGACGCCGTGGGCAGCGGCCCGAGGCCTGCTGGTGCCGTGGGCAGCGGCCCGAAGCCTGCTGACGCCGTGGGCAGCGACCCGAGACCTGCTGACGCTGTGGGCAGCGGCCCGAGGCCTGCTGACGCCGTGGGTAGCGGCATGTGATGGGATGACGGCGATCATGACGACTTAATGAGAATGTCACGGCTGAGTCCGTACCGTACTTCCCTGCGTGTCAGACGCCATCAAACGCCAGCAACAGCACAGCACTATGCGAACGCCCCCGCGTGCCCCGGGCCAGCACCACCGCAGGCCCCCGTCCCCTGTCGGGCGGTCGGAGCGAACCCAGTTCACACCGTCGTGCCCGCGCTGCCGACCCTCGTCCGCCGCCCATTACTGGGAAGGTCGTCGTAAAGGCCAGGTGGTGCGGGCGAACGCCATTGTTCCCGGTCCGTGCCGTGTCGCGCGTCGACTCAAGGCTCGCCGCGCTCCGACCGTGACCCCACTGCCGGCGCGCGCTGAGGGCGCGCGTCCCCGGCCGCGCCGGCGCGGGGCGCCCAGGGCTGCGACGACCGCGGTGTCGCCGGACGGCAGTCGGGCGGGACGCCTCTCGGCGCCGACCGTGACCCCGCTGAGGGCGCGCATCCCCGGCCGCGCCGGTGAGGGGCGCTGAGGGCTGCGACGACCGCGGTGCCGCCGGACGGCAGTCGGGCGGGACGCCTCTCGGCGCCGGCCGTGACCCCGCTGAGGGGCGCGTCCCCGGCCGCGCCGG